CAACGCACATGTGCGTTGCACACGCAACGCCCTCCCCATCCGGGACCAGATTTGGGATTGTTTCGAGGCAGGTAATCATCTGAGGGATACAACCAACCACCTGCTGTTTACAAGGACATCCTCGAAGTCAGCTGGCAAAAGTGGAGCTGGCAAAAAGTTAGTTGCCAGCTTGGCCCAAACGCACCCTTTCAGGGGATCTGTAAGGGTAACCCGAGTTTCGGATTCAGAGCGATGGATCCAAATGACAAAGTAATCCTCTCAAGTTGCTACCTACCTACCTGGCAGCGAAATGCTCGTGTCCAAAACAATATGAGGGTAAAGGTCGAACCAAACAGCAACTCAGAAGCCTAGTGGCCAGGAAGAAACAAGGGCACCTGTTTCTTGTTGGATGATGTGAAAGGGAACTGCTCCAAACAAATAGGCAAAAGCTTGCAACCCATGGTTCGCCAAAGTCCCTAAAAAACAGTGGCACCCTTTTTTGGTTGACTTTAAGGCGGCACCCCCTCCAACAAAAGTAACAAGAATGGTTGGTCTGGATAGGTTACCGTATAGGGCACCTCCCATTCACGGGCACGCTTCCACTTCGCGGCGAAGCGGCGTGCGGTCCCACCTTGTTGAACCACGCGGAGAGGCTGTGATAGCTGATCTCCCCCGGTGGGTGCCTGCGGAAGGGGAAGCGGCTGGGCAAAAGTGTCTGAAATCGGCTTCGGGTGTCTGAAATCAACGGAAGCTGCGGGTTTCTTTCGAAACTTGTGCGCCGAAAGCGATCGGTTTCCACGAGCGTAAGCCCTTTTGGTTTCATAGCAGAACAGACCCGGATCTGTCGTTTTAGGGCGCTGGTAGGCTTTCGGGGCTTTACGCTTGGATCAAGCTTCCCCCCCCCCTCTGGGAGATGTGATTTCCCAGAAGTCACTGCCGTGTGGTCAGTCCCTGAAATGATGGTGGGTTGCTTCATCTCTACCACTTGACTAGGGAAATTCCCAAAGGCAACATTTGGCTGCTTGATTCCCTCCATGTGTTCAACTCCGGCTTGGTACAACCCAAATCTGCCCATCCCCGCCCCGCCCCCAGCCCATTTTTGGCGGGAGCGCCAGTCTTCGCACCAGCCAGGTGCGACATAATGACTTCCATTTGCTTAAGCTGCATCAAACTTCCGGAGTTCGACCCCGTGGACGTGCCGAAGGCTCCAATCAGTCATGAACATTGTCCCCAAACCGACGTCGACTTGTCGGGAGTTCGCGGGATGTGGCCTGCTTTTGTTGCAGCCATGAAATCGCAAACCGCCTTAAGCAAATGACCGCCAGCATGGAAGATATGCACCGGGCCTCAAGATTGACCGATTGACCGATACACTCGCTGGAAGGGCAGCAAAAGTGCCAAGCTTCTGTGTTTTGGTAGTTCTTAGGGGAATGCGCGACAAGGTGACGAGGTAAAAGGTCACGTGCGAGACAACTCCCACCAATCTTCTGACGGCCAAGCTGGCGCCTGTGCATTTCGGTCCTAATCTAATTTGAGCAGGCACGGCCAGCTCATTTAGACATTGCAACGCGCAAGTCTCAATGCAGTCGGACCCTCATCCCAGTCTTGCACTTTGGCGTTGACTGTGCCTCAGGCCTCGACTGTCCTGCAAGCCGAGAAACGCAAACGAATCGGCTCACGTGTCCAGAGAACCTGGAAACACGAGGTTCACATTTCAGGTTGAGCATTTTTGTTGGAACACGCTTGGCATGCACAAATCGACTATACCACTTTTAGCTGGTTTTGCTCTGAGGTAAACGAGTTGCAATGTTTCAGATCCACAAAGCACCCACAATGGACACAGCTCCTTTCTGCTTTGTGGGTAGATGGTCCCCTGGTCCTTTTGTGATCTATCCCTTAAACCCGGCCAAGAGGATTTACCCGAAATAGCAGGGATCGGATCTCAGCAGAAATTGACGTTCCGCGCACTCGTCACGCACTTCCTTGGGCATGGCTGGCAACTGGGTTTGTTTCAAAGGGAGCTGGACCTCGATGGATTTGCCGTTTTGGTTTCCCATCAATCAACCCAAGGGGCACCCTCCCAAGAAAAGCATGGCAAGGGTGCCCTCAAAAACAAAACTGGAGTCCGTCTGGTTGCTGGCCACAAGGGCGTCCCCCCAGACAGTTCACAGAAGAAGCAATGCAGCCTTTTCGATAAACACATTGCTCACTGCACTCCTGCAGAGTGTCATGCTGCATGGAACCCTTGGTTTCACCTTGGTTTAAAGGGAAATCTAAGAGAACAACACATTTTTTGGGGTGTCTAATATGGGGTCCCCCTTATTTGACACATACCCACACCATGATATCAGTTAACTGGAAAAGAAGAGATTAAATTGGAAGTTCACTCCCTGTGAGGATTGAAACAACAACAACTAACTGCATAGTTACAGCAAAAACATGTCTTCCCAAAAAGTGCATAAAGTCCAGGCACTCACGGAGTGAAGAATAAAGGCGACCGGGACAGCCCCTTTCAGGGCTTGTTTGCAACTTCTTCAGTTTGTGAGAGTCATCATTTTCGGTGCTGGTCATCCCATGGACCTCGTGGTCAACCCCCAGACCCCATGGCATGAGACAGCCGTCCTCAGCAAGCCGCCGTTCCTCGCCTCCATAAACGTCCCTTGCCTCGAACGCCAGCTCTTGCGACGGCAAGCTGTTTGAGAACGCAATATGTTGTAAAACGAGGAACCCGTCCTACGTGGCTGGTGGACACAAATCCCAAGCTGCATGATGTTTAGCAGAGGGTCCCCAGTTAAACATGACACCCACGTGCATTTATTTTGAGTCATCTGCGGCTCCGCTTTGAACAAGTCTTTAAACATCACTCCACGAAAGAATGGCGTGTGAGCCTTCCTTTCTATCTTGTATCTCATCAAGAATTACCGCAAGGACAGGATGGAGTGAGGGAATGAGTGAGAAATATCTGTCCATTCCCTTGCATTTCATTTTACATTAGACACGCAATCGTATTCTGGAGTCTCTTCGCTATCCCAAAACGTCAAACGTAGAAAAGGGAGGAGGGCTAACTGTCTAAGCTTCTTCCCGCCTCTAACCATTCAGCGTCTCCGCTGTCAATGATAAAGAGAGCGGAGAGTGCATGGGTGAACAGGATATGCTTCTTGGGAACCTTTCTGCTTTCATATGATGGCTCTCCTCATTCGCGAGTCCCAAGACCATGGATCATGAAAAGGAGAATTGGTCATCCATTCATGTTCCCCCGTCCTTTCATCTAATTATTGGCTAATTTTCATGTGCCCCTCTCTTTATGGGACCTCAGATCCCCTGCTACAAGTTTGACTTTTAGTGGGTTAAATGGAAACTACCACTAAACCAGCTAACAAGATCAAAAAAGCTAAGGAACCGGATGGCTGGGAGCCAAGGCAACTTGGCCAAACGTGTCATCAACGCCCCTCCGCCTCAGCCCGTTGGCTCTATCCCTGGGCTGCGGGCTCCGGGTATGCGGCACGGCGCGCCCCAGGCTGGGTGCGGGTCTTGATGTAGTCCTGCGCGTGTTGGAGCTACTGACGGTTGAAAATTCCAGACATCGCGCCACGATTTCTGAAAGAATGGTTGAGACCATTGTTGGAATTTATGGGGGAATCACAGCATTCCAGGGTTTCTTAGGTGGTGCAGGATTTCGTCCATCCACAGTATGGATGATTCTTAGCAACAATCGGTTTGCGGTAGCGCTCATGTTGGACGAAAATTGGGAACGACTCCACGTAACCGATTATTACCTAGTTACTCTCAGGGTGTCCCTGCCGGGGGGTGACAACACAAAAAATACAACGAATCGGTCGAAAGGAGTACCAATGGGTCGGTCCTCCAGGCGAGAAGTCTGCCACTCTGAGGATTCACCTGGGATGCGCGTGCCCATGGGCGTCCTTTCGGAAAACATGAGCCGTTCACCTTGGCCCACATCTGGGGTAGGTGGAAAACGGATATGTTCTGATGATTTCCCTTTTTTAGTCCAAAAACATATGGCTATGATACAGCCTTGGCGATTGGGATATAAACATATACCAACATAATAAACAGTTTAGCAGACAACGGAAATAGCCTTGGAGACCACAGTTCCCAGGATCTTACATATGAGAGGGCCTTTGACCCCAAAAGACCATGGGACACAAAGGCTCTTCCACCGACTTCCCACCACGGGCATTTTTTCCAGCCATAGCTGAAGTCTTCCATCCGCGCGGTGGCGTGCGTTAATATTGCACCAGCCGGCCAAGGGCTAGCATGACATCTGGCAGCCTGCTAATTTCTTCGTTTTCAAGGCGCAGAAACTGCCCTCCAACAGAGCTTGGAATCACGACAGGCCGTGAGAGATACACGGAATCAAAAAACTGTGCCCGCAAGGGCTCACTAAGTCCTATGACATCCATGCTGTAGTGATGCCAAAGATAGATTCCTCGACGCGCGAGCCCCTCCTGAGCATGGAAAACATCCTGAGGAGTGCCCACAAGTGCAAATCGCACTGGGTAATTGCCATCTCTGGCTACTTGAAGACCCTGAACCACGAACACTTTGTCCCAGAATCTGACCACTGACTTGATGCGCTCTATGGCATCTTTGCGATCCACGTGATCCATCCCGTAGAGGCCGCCCTCATCGCCAAAGACGCAATGGCCTGCCGAGTGGGCCTCCTGCGCGCGGCGGGTTGATGAAGCCCCGTGCATGAGATGTGCACTTCACACGTTGACCATGCGGATGAACCGATTCCCGCAGACCTTTTTATGCTTTGAAGGAGAAAAGTCGCCCCGGAGGTTTGCAGGTTATGAGCCCAAGCCGCTCGCGCACATGGAGGTGATGAGGCGGCGACGGTCCGGCCAGGTAAGCCCTGGCGGGGAAGTCGAGGAGAGCCGGGCACTGGCCGGGGGCGAGCTGGTGGCGGACGAGGGAGAAGATCCTGAGATGGGTGAGCCGATGGAGGGTGATGACGCCCTGGAGGTTCACTCGGCAGATGGCCGTGCATCCACCAGGGAGGCATCAACGGCAAGATCGGCGAGGAGCTCATCGAGGACGAGGGAGACGTCACCGAGGGCCCTCAGGCCGGGCATGGATGATGAGCCTTTGGTGGAGAGAGAATCGAGCTCTACGGCCTCTAGGCAAAGGAGCGCTTCAGCGCAGAGCTCTATGGCATCTGCGAAGCCAGGGAGTACCACGAGGTCGAGCCCTTCGGCATCTAGGAGAGCGGGCTCTATGGAAAGGGCCGGTGATGGCCCGAAGGCAGGAGCGGAGGTAAATCCCTTTTGGTCCAAGAGGGTGCAGGAGGAGGTGAGGCTTCGTGAAGCGAGGCCGGAAGGACTGCCACCGGTCCCGGAGTCAGGTGATGAGGAGGAGCCGGTCAGGACACCTTTGAAGGCTGCGGAGGGAGAAGCAGCCGCGAAGAGGAATCGGGCCAGGGCCTTCATGTCGCCGGAGGAGCGGTTGGCGGATGAGAAAAGGGAGTTGGCCTTGCAGGCGGTCAAGAGGGATCTGAGACGGATCGGAGGAGAGGGTCCGCCGGAGGAGGGCGGGCGGAACAAGGGGCCTTCAGGTGGAGGCGGAGAGGATTGGGATGGCGCCGGAAGCGCAGGAGACAAGGGAAGGCCAGCCACACCTGAGGACCGTCTGGAGGGGGAACTCAGCAGGGTGATGATCGAGGAGTACGGTGCGGTCAATATGAACCTGGCTGAGGCGTTGCGGCAACGGAATGAGCTGCGACATAAGGTGGAGCGACTGGAGCTGGAGAAGATTGTGGTGGAAGCGGAGGCCGAGCAGAACCGGAGGATGGCGGAGCTGTGGGAATCACGGGCGCGGCAGGCTGAGAAGCATGTGGAGCTCTTGACGGACCAGATCACGGTGCTGGAACAACGGCCTCAGCAATTTCACACGCCGCAGCAAGAGGAGGAGCCGCAGCCACCGAGGCCGGAAACCCCCCCACCACCGCCTCCGGGAATTCGATCCAAGAGGCAAAAGCTGGAGATGACGCCGGGTGGCACCAGGGTGCCGCAGGATCCACCCCCTTATGATCATGAATGGCCAAACCCAGAAAACGGTTGGGTCATGGACGGGGTGAGTTACAAGCCGGCATGGGGGCGCTCGAGGTCCACGTCAAGGGAGGAGAAGCCGGCGGCAAGCAGACCGAGGTGGACAAGGTCGAGGTCGACTTCCAAGGACGGTGGTGAGGCACGGAAACCCGAGGAAGGGAAGCCAGCAATTCCAGTGGCGCCCCTGCTACAGCAGAAGCCAAAGAGTCGGCCGGAGGTCAAGGAGATGCCCAACGAGACTGGACGGGCTACGGATCTGCCGGAGCTGGTGGGCGACGGAAGCCCGCTGACCTTTGGGGACTGGATGGCCACGATCGACCACTACATGAAGGACATTTCGACCTACAGCGCGATGTGGTGGGAGGAGGTGTGCGCTAGTGCGAAGGAGGCCTACGCGGAGTGGTTGGTGGCGAGCCCGTTGCAGAGACTGCGCATCAAGCCGGAGCTGCCGCTGGTCTGCATGGACTTGCCTCGCACTGAGCAGAGAGGGGTGGCCATGGTCCTCAAGGCGCTCCCGGAGAGCGTAAAGAAGGAGCTGGTGGCCAACAGGCAGTTGAGCATGGTGAACATCATCTATCGCCTGTACATCTTGTACCAGCCAGGAGGAGCCTCTGAAAGGCAGCAGATCCTGAACGCGCTGCTGGACACCAAGGGCGGGAACGCTTCGGAGGTAGCTAAGCAGCTGAGGTCGTGGAGGCACTGGAGGAAACGGGCGCTGGAGCTGGGAGTGGCGTTGCCGGATGCCACGTTGTTGGTGTCGGCCCTGGACAAGTTCGCTGCGGCTCTGTCGAAGCTGGATCAGCAGAGCAGCTACCGAATGTCCACGGTGAGAGCGGAGCTGAACCTGGATACGAGGCCGACTCAGGAAGCGGTGGAGAGCTTCGCGGAGTACCTCCAAGCGGAGTCCGAGACGGCGGAGTTGGCCAAGGGCGGCAAGGAGACCGCTCCCAAGGTGAAGGCGATGGGTGGTGCAGGAAAGGAGGAGGCTGGACCCTGGAAGCCATCGAGTGGTGGTGGGACTCCCGGGAAGCCGAGGGTGGTGGATTTGTCGAGGGCGTGCAAATGGTACGCGACCGACGCGGGGTGCAGGTTTGGCAAGAACTGCAAGTTTGCCCATGTGTGGGACAGCCTGGATCGGCAAAAGGAGCGGTGCTGGAACTGTGGGAGTTTGGAGCATCGCAAAGCGGAGTGCCCGCGGCCTGGGCCCCAAGGTGGCCCGGGAGGAGGTCAAGCTGCGGCTGGAGGGGGCGAAGGAGCCAAGAGGAGAGCCGGAACACCGCCGGGAAATAAGGGGGCGGTGAGGAAGGCTGCTGGAGGAAAGAGCCATGCGGCGGAACCGGTGGTGGAAGAAGAAATGGAGGAGGTCGTTGTTGAGGAGACCGGTGGGAAGGACAAGCTGATGGCAGAGGCGACGCAGCTGTTGAAGAGCCTCAGGATGAAGAAGCTCAAGGCGGCGAAGCTGTCAAAGATCGGGGAGTGCCAAAGTTGGGGGCTTCTTGATGGAGGGGCCACGCATGCGCTCAGGCAAGCGCGGAAGGGGGAGACAGGGGAGGACCGCATGGTGGAGCTTGCGGACGGCCGGGAGGTGGCGATGCAGATGACGGAGGGTCACACTTTGATCTGCAAGGAAGCCACGCAGGTCATTGTGCCGCTTGGAGCGTTGTACCTGCTGGGCTACAGGATCCGCTGGGAGGAGGGTATCTGCTGCATCGAGCATGCGAGCCGAGGCCCGTTGCCGGTGAGGATGAGGCAGTTTTGCCCGGAAGTCCCGACGGAGGTGGCTCTGAGGTTGGTGGAGGAACTGGAGGAGTTCAACAAGGGGTTGCTCAGGAGGGCGGCGACAGCGGCGACCAAGAGCATGAGGAAGCCGGACGTCAAGAAGGGCCTGTGCGGCAGGGTGGCGGAGGCGTGGAAGAAAGGAGAGATGGAGAAGGTGAAGGGGGAGTTCGAGCAGCTCTTCCCGGAGGTGCCGGTGGCGCTGCTGGAGAGGGCCCTGGGCACAGGAGAAGGAAGGGGAATCGCCTGGAACCGGGCGGCGAGGAGGAGGCATGCCAAGGCGACAGGGTTGATCCTGCATCTCTTCGCCGGAAAGAGTGCGAAGAAGTTCAACTACGGGCAGTGGGACAGGGAGATCATTGCGGTGGACATCCTGTCGGGCCAGGATTTGCTTGAGGAGGACACCTTCGGGTACCTGGCTGGTTTGGCGGCGGAGGGAAGGACGGAGGGGGTCATGGGTGGACCGCCGTGTCGGACGTATTCCTACTGCCGGCACTTTGAGCCTGGCCCTTATCCGGTCCGAGGAAGAGGAGAAGAGCGGTTTGGCTATGAGGAGCTGAGCGGGGTGGAAGCAAAGAAAGTGGAGGGCGACAGCGTCTTGATGCTGCGCATGTGGATCCTGGCGGTGCTGGCGAATGGTGGCCGGGAGCTGGTGGGTCGGAAGGCATGGATGGTCAAGGAGCACCCGGAGGACCCGAGGAGCTTTGTCAGTGAAGAGGAGTGGGAGAGGGCCAAGGCCCGGGGGGGCGAACCGCCTTCGATCTGGGATTGGCCGGAGGTCGCGGCGATGGAGGAGGTGCTGGGACTCATCAGGGTGAAGTTCGACCAGGGTGCGATGGGCCACATAAAGAGGAAGCCGACGATGCTGTTGACCAGTATCAAGGACCTACGGCAGCTGGACGGCATGAGAGGACCTGGAGTTGGAGGAGCGGGGAACCGCGAATCCAGCAGCTGGGCAGAATGGGCGCCGGGGTTGGTGGCGGCGTTGGACGAGGCGATCAAAAGGGAGGTGGTGGCAGCGGCAAGAATGGCAAAGGCATCGGCAGAGGAGATGTGGAAGAGCCACGTCGAGAATGGCCATACCCCGTTTCGCCGAGACTGCAGGGCCTGCATCCAGGGGGGACTCAGAGGAAGGAGCCATCGGAAGAGGAGTCACCCGGCCTTGGCCACTTTGGCCATCGACGTGACGGGCCCGTTCAAGACGTCTAAGGAGGGGCATCGCTATCTGTTGGTGGGGTCGTACGTCACGGCGGTGGCGGAGAACATGGCCAAGGAAGATGAGGTGGAGAAGGAAGCCAGGGAAGAAGGGGAAGACCCGAGTGAGGACCCATTTGAGGAGATGTTTGATGAGGAAGGAGCCTTGAGGATAGAAGGTGAGGATAGAGAGGTGAGGGTAGAAGGTGAGGAGAGAGGAGCCGGGAGGGTAGAAGGTGAGGAGAGAGGAGCCGTGAGGGTAGAAGGTGAGGAGAGAGGAGCCGTGAGGGTAGAAGGTGAGGAGGACGAGAGAAGAGAAGAAGAGCATCCAGCTCCGGGGGGGCTGGAAGGTATGGTCACAAGGACCATCATGTTGGTGGAGCCGCTGAAGACCAGGAGAGCAGCGGAGGTGATTGCGGCTACGCAGTCGATGGTTGCCAAGCTTCGGTGGTGGGGTTTCGAGGTGACGAGACTTCATTCTGATCGAGGACGGGAGCTGGTGTCGACAGCGTTGAGGAGGTGGGCGGTGAGTCATGGGCTGTACAAGACGTTGTCAAGCCCAGATGAGCCGCAAGCCAATGGCCGGGCGGAGGCAGCGGTTGGCTGGGTGAAGCGGAAAGCACGGGCGCTGCTGCTGGCGGCGGGGGCCAACGCCAATTTGTGGCATGGGGCAGCGTTGCAAGCGGTGGAGATCAGGAACCGGAAGATCATGCGAGAGATGGGTTCTCCACAGCTGCAGCTGCCGGTCTTCGGTCAAAAGGTGGTGGTGAAGAAGAGGAGATGGAAGAGAGAGGCTTGGGAGGCGATCACGCAGAACGCCACCTATGTGGGGCCGTGCCCGGACATGACCTTCGGTTTGAGGGTGATGGATCAAGGGGGGAGCATCTACACGGTGTCGCAGGTTGTGCCGGAGCCGAGGGACCAGAAGGTGGACATCCCGGTGGTGGGTGAGCTGTGGACCAGGAGAAGGAGGCTGCGAGGAAAGCAGAGAGATGAGGAGGCTGGAGGAGCTGAGGAGGAGCCGAGAATCGGTAAGGTCGAAGGAAGTGAGGAGCAGGTGGAGGTGTCCTTGGACCCGGAGTGGGTAGGGGTCGGGAAGGACTGGATCGAGGCGATGGCAAAAAGACAGGTGGTGTGGTCGAGAGAGAAGGATCGGTGCCTGGAGTTGGTCATGGATGACTTGGAGATGGGGGGCACCGGAGAGGAGTGGGCTGAGGTGCTGGGAAGGTTAGACATCCAGCAGAGCTGCACGGAAGAGGAGATGGTGGAGGTCACCCGCGAGGAGCGCCCAAAGGCAGGACTGAGGGCGATGGATGTGGTGGCGGAAGAGGAGATGTTCCTCCAGACGAAGATTATCGGGCTGGAGCAGGTGAGGAGAGAGATGGAGCTGTGGGTGCCGACGATGAAGAAGGAGGTCGGTGCGTTGCTGGAGAAGACAGCCATACGAGAGGTGAGAGAAGAAGAGGTGGATAGATGGGAGAGAGAAGGTGAGGCGGTGCAAAGAGCGCCGGGAAAGGCGGTGTTCACCCGCAAGTCAGGTGATGGGAGGCGGAAGTGCCGCGCGGTTGTCTGCGGCAACCAAATCCAGGAAGAGGTGGAAGGAGGGGCTGACGTGTACGCATCCGGCGTGGAGGCTGGCACGGTTCGTGCGCTGCTCCGAAAGGCGGCGGCTATGAGATGGTCGGTGGGCAGCTTAGACATCAGAACGGCGTTCTTGAACGCCCCGAGGAGGTCGTCCCATCGGGTGGTAGTGAGACCGCCGAGGATCCTCATCGATGCGAAGGTGGTGGAGCCGGGCGTCATGTGGGAGGTCACGAAGGCGCTCTACGGGCTGAGGGCTTCACCAGCCGATTGGGGGGCGCACCGGGATGATACCCTCAGGAGGTGGAAAGTGGACATCGGTGGGG